CAGAAGAAGGTATTAGGGGGATAAATGGTGATGGAAGAAGACTTGACTTGGGGTAGTTAACACACAATATAACATAAAGATGATGTATTATAGGACTGTACACCTGAAACCTATGTAATTTTATTAAACAATGTCACCCAATGAATTCAATAAAAAAGAAAAATAAATTAAAAAATTTAAAAATAGACAAAACAGTAGTAACTCCATTGATATCTGAATTAACAGTACTGGTCTTTGATTTCGTCAGCAATCCTATATGTTGAAAGAGGTTTTTAATAGAAGTGTGGATGAGAAAAATTTATCAAAGGATAAACATAACAGAGCAGTAAAGGATGTGGGTAATGTAGTCAAGGTAGTTAAACTCCAACCTTTCATTAAAAAAAGTTAAGAGTTTCTAATGTTTACCTCAGCTGGGACTTCAAAAACTACAGTTAAAAAATAAAGACTCTCCGCAAAGTTGCAGGATACAAAGTCAACATGTAAAAATCAGTGGTATTCCTATAGACTCACAATGAACAATCTGAAAAAGGAAATTAAGAAAAAAATTCTAATTACAGTATCATCTAAAAAAATAAAATACTTAGGAATAACCTTAATCAAAGAGAAGACAGGCATACCATAAAAACTACAAGAGTTGCTGAAACACATTAAAAACATAAAAAATGGAAAGACATTTCCTGTTTATAGGCTGGAAGACTTACCATTAAGACTTACTACTTAAAGCGATCTGCAGATTCAAAGCTATCTCTATCAAAATCCCAATGATGTTTTCTTGCAGAAACAGAAATATCTGTTCTAAAAACTACGTGGAGTCTCCAGGACTCTGAATGGCCAAAACAATCTTGAAAAAGAAGAACAAAGTTGAAGGTCGCATACTTCCTGATTTCAAAACTTAATAAAAGGCTACAGTAATCAAAACTGTGGTGCTGGCATAAAGACAAGCATATAGATCAATGGAGTAGAATACAGCCCAGAAATAAACTCTTGTATATATGATCAAATGTTTCCAAGACCATTCCTTAGGGAAACAACAGTCTTTTTTTTTTTAACTTAAACTTTATTTTTATTGTTGACCCTATTACAGATGTCTCCATTACCCTTGCCCCCCTCCACCTAGCCCCTGCCCTCCTTTTCCTCTAGCTATCATCATACTGCTGTCTATGTCTATGAGTTATAAATATATAACTCATAAAAATATATATATAAATTAGACCCCCTAATATATATATTTTTTGGGGGGGGGCTAATTCCTTCACCTTCTTTCATCCAGTTCCCCCTCCCCTTTCTCCTTCCCCTCTGACAGCTGTCAGTTTCTTCCATATGTTCATGCCTCTGTTTCTATTTTGTTTGCCAGTTTATTTTGTTCATTAGACTCCACATATAAGTGAGATCATATTGTATTTATCTCCCCCTTCCAGGAGAATTATTTCACTTAGCATAATAATCTCCAGGTCCATCCATACTGTTGTAAAAGGTAAGATTTAAAAGGGTGGTCTTTTCAACAAATGGCGTTGGGAATACTGGGAATCCACATGCAAAAGAATGAAATTGATCTCTGACCTTACACTACAGAAAACTTTTAACTCAAAATGGATCAAAGACCTAAACATAACAGCTAAAACTATAAAACTCTTAGAAAAAAACATAAGGCAATAGCTTACAGACATTAGATTTGACAACAATTTCTTGGATATAATACTAATAGGCATAGTCAAGCAACAACAAAAAGAGGTAAAATGGACTATATCAAAATTAAAATCTCCTGTGCATCATAGGACATAATTAATGGAGTGAAAAAGCAATCCAGAGAATGGGAGAAAATATTTCCAAATCACGAATCTAATAAGAGATTAATATCCAGAATATACAAGGAACTCCTATAACTCAACAACAAGAATAAGAACAACAACAACAAAACCCAACCTGATTAAAAAATAGGCAAAGGTCTTGAATAGACAATTCTCCAAAGATATACAAATAGTCAATAAGTACAGGAAAGGATGCTCAACTTGCTAATAATTAAAAAAGTGCAAATCAAAACCACAATGAGATACCACCTCATATTCGTTAGGAAGGCTACTACCATCAAGGAAGGAAGGAAGGACGGGAGGGAGGGAGGAAGTAAGGAAGGAGAAAGGGAAAGGGGAAGGGAAGGGAAGGAAAAGAGATAGGAAAGGAAAGGGAAAGGGAAAGGGGAGGGAAGAAGAGAAGGGGAAGGGAAGGGGAAGGGAAGGGGAAGTGGGAGGGGAGGGGAGGAAACTAGAAAATAATGATAGAAAGAATGTAGAGAAATTGAAACCCTTGAGCAATGTTAATGGGAATGTAAACTAGTGTAGCCATTATGGAAAAACAGTATGGAAGTTCCTCAAAAAGCAAAAAACAGAGTATGATTCAGCAATTCCACTTCTGGGTAATACCCAAATTAATGGGAAGCAAAGCGTTGAAGAGGTATTTGTATATCCATCTTGCTAGCAACATCATTTACAATAGCCAAAAGATAAAAGCAACCCAAATATCTATCAATGGATGAATGGATAAGCAAAATATGATACATACATATGATGAAATATTCTTCAGTTTAAAACGAAAGTAAATTCTGCAATATGCTACAACATGGGTGAAACTTTAGGGCATTATACTAAGTAAAATGAGCCAATCACAAAAAAGACAAATGCTACATATGAGGAGGTTCTTGGAACAGTCAAAATCAGAGACACAATGTAGAATACTGGTTGCCAGGGGCTGGACCCCAGACAGTGAGTTATTATTTAATGGGTACAGAGTTTCAGTTTCAGAAGATGAAAAAGAGTCATGGAGATGGATGGCTGCTGATGACTAACAATACTATGAATATATTTAACACCACTAAACTGTACAGTTAAAAATGGTTAAGATGTTATGTATGTTTTATGACAATTTTTTTTAAAGTGAGTATCCCCACTCTCTCACCCCAAAAGATGCAAAGTAAGAATTTTCTAAGATTTCCCACTCATTTAAATTTTCTCATGTTATTATTGTGGTCATTCTCTTTCTGATTCCTCCAAGAAATCAGCAGTTTAAAAAAAACCTACAAATGGGATAATAAATAATCAGTATCTGAAACATCTGTTACAGCATTTTTTGTAGTAACCCATTGTTTCTAGCTGGGATGATCCACAGCAGGAGTTGACAGTACATAATTGTTGCTGCTTCAGACGATAGCAACAGCTAATACATACTGCTTACTATGTGCCAGACATTCTTCCAAATTCTTTATATGTATTAAGCTATTTAATATAATATAAGGTAGCTATTATTTGTATCTTTATTTTATAGATAAGGAATCTGAGGCACTAAAAATTTAAATAACTTGCACAAGGTCACCACCTCTATTCAAGTGGGAGATACGGCTTTCAAATATTGGTAGTCTGGATCAAGAATTCATGGGTTTAATCACTCCATCACGTGATCTCTTTGTAAGCATAGTACTCCCATCCACTTGTAATCAATGAAAATAGTCACTCAAGAGAAAAATTTTAGACTTAATCCTAAAGACAAACCATGATGACAAGGTATAATGGCAATTCTACCTTAAGCATAGTACATACTGGTTAATTAGACTTAATTAAATTATAAAGCCTGGTCTGTCACTAAACCACCTCCCCACACCCAACATACACATCTGGTTCTTCCTTTATATTCCCAGATAAAATTGTATACTACAAAATTCCTTAGAAGTAGGACTGTATATGATTTATTTTTATTCACAAGGTCTGGCACATAGTAAGTGGCCCCCCAAATGTTTCTTGAACAAGTATCTCCAAGTACACTATGGCTTGCAAGAATACATCTTGGGTTCATATTTTAGAACCTATTAATTAATGAGTCCATTATCATGAGGCTTTGCCAAAAATTAAATGTACCGTAAGATTAAATGTACCATGAGGAAGTACCAACACAGACCCACATGCTATACTTTAGATTCAGGTTTTAATGACATTCTAGTATAATGCTAAAAGTATAAAGTACTATAGAATTAAACCTACGGTTGCAAGAAAAAATATAATATGAAGCATTTCCCACACATGGGAAAAACATATTACATTAAAGTCAGAGAATTAGATACATATATTGAAGCTTAATATCAAACCTTGAGTTTAGCTTTAATAGAAAATTCCTTTACTTGGAGTCACTTTAACACAATCACAAATAACATTTATATACTCATTCTAACCGTAACTGCTCACTGCTCCTGCACTGCACTTCATATAAACCTTTTAGGCGCTTATATTATTACACTGTAATGATCTGCTTATGTGACTCTATTAGACTGCATTTGAAGGTAAATTGTCATTCACTTTAATATCTCAGTACGGGTAGTAAATGGTTCCCAAAAGTTTGTCAAATGACATAGGTAGTATTTTTATGTTTATAAATAAACCTGTGAATAATTTTAGAGAAGAAATTAAGCGGAGAGGTTATGTAACTTGGCTGAAATCAAGAGCAAGTAAATAAATGAAATCAGAATTCAAATCCAGGTTTTCAGTCAAATATTTTTATGCCCCTTCTATCATATCATACATATGTATCACATTTGTATTTACCACAAATTGTGCAAGAGCTACATACGGTAGTAGCTACCTGTAATTAAAAAGCAACAAGTTAACCACAAAAATGAACCACAAAAAATTGTAATAGTAAAGTTCCCTTAAAAATGAGATCTTTGGCTCTGGCCAGGTAGCTCTGTTGGTTAGAGCATCATCCCAATATGCTAAGATTGCAAATTTGATCTTGGGTCAGGGCCCATACAAGAATCGACCAATGAATGCATAAATATGTGGAACTAAAATACCATATCTCTGTCTGTCTCTGTCTCGCTCCCCTCTCCTTCCTTCTCTCTAAAATCAATCAATCAATAAAATATAAAATTTTTAAATGAAGTCTTTGAACTTTCAGCCAAAACTAGTTATTATTACACTCTCAACACAATACTGCTGTAAGTATTGATGAAAAGATTTTACCTTGTACCTCTTTATCATGATACTCTTTTAGCTTCGTCCAAAGATCCTTAAAATCATTAGATATATCTGCTGAACTAGGGCTTCCACAGCTGCTTCCAGAGACGTTCATCTTGTTTTAATATGCTTTAACACTTCTATTCGCCTAATGTTTTCTGGCCTTTTCTGTTACATTATATAGGTATCAAGTTGTCTTTGGACAGCTGAAATACCTGAAACGACAGATTGCAACGCAAATGAATCCTTCATTTACATTTATTTAATCTGAGACCAGCCGTTATCAAGTTTTCCTTATTTACCTACAATCAGTAACTTTGAGAATTGGGGGTCGGGGGGATGGCAAGTAAGGAAAGATGATTATGGTGAGAAAAGCCCTGATTTCAGTAACCTGTACTTTAGTTAAGCTAAAATTTCAGGCAAATATTCTCTTACTCCTCCAAGAAGGAAGTAATTACCTAGATTATGTTAAATTGAAAGACCCCCGACAGAGAGGTTTGTAATCATTCATGGTCAGTATTGATACACCATTCTAAAAGGATTTATTGCTTTTTAAACTTTGAATAAAGACAGAGAAAAACAATATATTGAATCCCAAACTGAAAGAATATCCTGAAATATTCTTGACTTAACAAGCATTCTCTTTTACATGCGCACACACACAAATATACATACAAATATACATACAAAAACATGTTATAAGAGCAAGGAAAATGACGGATGTTTTAACCAAGTATCTGAATAGCTTTCTCATGTAATCACTAAGCAAGATATGGACACAGCAAAGGTCTATGAACACAGAAACATTTAGTAACAAGGCAACTAGGGTAAAGCTATTTTGTGCCTTTCTCAGAGCAAAGGTAAATGAGTTTATTATTTCTATAGCCCTTGAAGTAAGCAATAGGCTATTATTAAGAAGTGGATTAATAAATATTTTAATGGGTTCTTAAACTGAGATCATTAACTAGCTACCATTAAAAAAGTAAAATGATTAACAAGTCTACTAAACCCCATACCTGGCTCCTTAGCCAATGCCTTACTATAGCTAACAAGTACACAAACTGATTTAAATGTCTCTTGCTAACCATTTCTTTAGGTCTCTGATGAAGCTAAAATAAGCAGTGACATTTCTAAATGGAGCAAGATTATGTGTGAATCCACTTGGTAAACCATAAAGTACTACAAAAATAGAAAAACACTTTTAGTAAGTTTTCAAAACTTGTGATTATACTTTTCTGAGACAATCAGTGAAAACTAAACATGGGCTGGACTTTAGATAATACTAGGGAATTATTTTTATTTTCTTGGGTATAATTATATGGTCATGTTTTTTAAAAAGTCCTTTATCTATTAAAACAGATATATACTGAGGTGTTTACAGGTGTTTTGAGATTTGCTTTAAAATACTCCAGCTAAAATAAACAAAAACATGAATGTTGGGTGGGGAGATGAAACAAGAGTTGAACTTTGATAATTATTGAAGCTTGGCAATGAATGGGTGGGTATACAAGGGGGTTCATAAATTAGTGTCTCTCTTGTGTATGTTTATTATTTCCATACTGAAGTTTTTTTAAAGTGGAACTGGGTTCACTGCATTAGTACAGCTTATTTTCAAAGAGACTCGTATTCTACTATTTCTTAACCTTGAAAGATAAATCAGTGGACATATACTACTGCCAGCACATTTATTAAGTGCTGTATATATACCAAGGACTGTAATGTTTTATATTCATTTCTTATCCTAATTTTCAGAACAACTCCATAAAGACTGTTATTAATTTCATTTTAGAGCTGGAGAAACAGGTTTAAGAGATTAAGTGACTGGCCCAAGGTCACATTGCTAGGACAAAGTTTTGTCACAGCTGGCCCTCCAGCTGTGTTGCCAATAACTGCAAAATACTGCTAAATAACCAAAGGTAGGTAAATTAATTATTTCTATTAAGTAAATAGTGTAAAAACAGTTTGTTACTTTAATGAATTTTAAAATGTATAGCACTAAATAATTTTAAACCAATAGTGTAAAAAAGTGTCCTTTGAGAAATATATCTATCTTTAGAGATAGCAAAAAAAACATTGTTTTTTCCCCCGCACATAAAAACAATTTATCAATACTAAACTTGCAAATTCCGGCTCCCAAAACCATCTCTTACCTATCCTGAATGCCCAGCTTTTTGTTGGCAACTCTTTTGGCACACTCTAAGATCTCAGAAATGTACACCTTGCCTCTCAAGTAGCATTCTGGGCTTATCAAAGGCCTGTAGCACATAACACATTTCTGTGCATCTTGTAGCAGTGTAGGTGCTGGATAAAATATTTCTTTCGTACCACACCACACATATTCTCAAACAAGGAAAGAGCCGGGCCTCGAGTCAAACAGGAGCCCTGAACTTAATAGGGATTTTGAGCAGTCTTCTTACTAGCAACACAGAGGTTCAAAGCCTCCGTTTCCAAGACACGCAGCCATCAGCCTCTGCTGCCGTGAGCTAGCAGAGGTTTACAGCACGACTGACAGGGTAAGTGCGATGAGTAACGCCCCACCCGCTCAGGGTGGAAGTCTGCGCATGCGCGGGGGGCGGGCTAGTCCCTGGGAAACTAATCCAAATTTTGCGCGGGAGACCAAAAAAACAGCACGGACCGCGAACTTGTCTTCCTTCCTCATAAACCAGGTTTGGCCCGGCCCCAGCCTACTCACTAATCCTCAGCCCCAGAGTCCTACGACCATCCCCACCACGGGGGCCAAATGCCTTCGGTCAGCACGCCTCTCCAGACCGGATGTGGCCTCTACGATCCAGCGCTCCGGTTTGGGGGAAAGAAATTCCTCTTACAGCTTCCAAAATTACCTCGAGATTATCGAAAGTCCCGGCAGGAATGCTGGAGCGCACTGGGGCTGTGAAGTGAAGGCGCCTGGCTTTTCTCTTTCCCTCACTAATTTGCCAAACGTCCGGAAGGAAAGCCAGCCCCTCCGGGCAGTCCGCGTTTTCCGGGGGTGGGGGAAAGCCCGAAGGCCGCTAGCTGGCTTGGAGGCGGCTGTGCCCGCCCCTCCTGGAAACCGTGTGACGTCACGCGGGTGTTCCTAGGAGTTTACGCCCCTCCTCCCCTTGTAGTGAGGCGGCTGGCGGTGGGACTACCGTGTGGGTGTGGGGTCTACCGGATGTCCTAGTGGGAAGTGCATTGACGGAAGAGGTGAGCACTATGTCTGCGTTGTCCGGAGCCGCCACTCTAAGGACTGGCAACCACCACAGAGTTTTTGGAATTCTCTGGAGAAAGCTCAAACCTTTCAGTTTGGGAAGTTTTAATTCCTTGGTGTTAGCGAAAGTTACAGACGCTTCTGATTTAAGCACATTTCAGGGAACGTGTATATGAGTGGCCTGTACCAAATGGAAAGTTAAAATTAGCTGATGAAGGAATAAACAGATTTATCTAACATAATTCTCTGCCTTGTAGCTATTACCTGCTGTTCAGGGATGTGACCTGAAAGGACTGGGTGGTGAGGCCAGATAGCAAAACGCTGTGTATTTTGTTGAGATTAAATGGAAGGTTTCTGGAGAAACTGAAATGAAAAGAAATCAGAAGTGACCAGCATTATTTGTTGGAACAATGTATTAGGTAATACACATATTTTTAAATCAACACTTCCTGTGGCTGATAACATTCAAAGTGTTAATATGTTTTCCTATTTATCTTGATTGCTAAAAGAAGGGTTTGAACTTCTATACATGAAGTTGAAGAAAATAAACGATAGACTACAACCACGATATCTGTTCAACCATTTCAGTACTTTTCTGTAATACTTCTAAGACCTGGGAGGAAGAGGATAATGTAAATTTTAAAAAGTTAAGTAGTATTTAGAAAATCATAAATATAAAATGTAAAAGTAATTTTTCCAGTCATTGTCGATCTTAATGAATGAATATCATAGCTTACTTCTTGTGATTGAAACGTAAGAGGACGTTCTGTACCATTTTATCAATGCTATAGGAACGTTGATGTTGTTAAAGAGGGCTGTTGAACCTTCATTGCCCTGTTATAGCAACCGTAATTCACTTCCAAATTTTATAAGATTTAAATCATAACATGTAGAGAAAATGGGTGAAAAATTGACCATGCCATTTTTAATACAACATAGGAGGCATAATTGCTTGTATAAATGTTTATAATGGAATTGGAGAGTTTTATTACAAATGGAAAGAACCTGTAATCAGTTAGTCTTTTAATGGCACACTGAAAGACAGCATATGTGTGGTCCAAAGAAAAACTATCATAATTGAATGACCTAACGTGTTCCTCTGGCCCCTGCCAATGGCTTCATGGTCCAGTCTATTTAAGTCAAAATCGAAATAATCGTCCTTGGCACATTCTTTTCCCTTAATCCCCATATCCAATTTATTAACAAGTCCTGTCAATTTTACCTACCAAATACCTCCCAAATCCCTCCCTTCTCTTCGTTACCACCCCAATACTCCAAGGTCCCATTATCTCTTATTAGTCTGCTGCTCATATCCACGTAACCAACAACCACCTAAACCTTTCTCTTCACTAGTGTTCAGAAAAAATTTTAAACATCTATTCTCAAGTATATTTTTAAATTTTAAATTGTACGCATATTGCTGATAAACGGTATATAGTCTCATGAGTAAGTCACAGGCTCTGGAGCCAGACATCCTGGCTTTGAATCCTGCTCTAATACTTCCTTACTAAGTCACCTTGGGCTGGTTTCTTAACCCCTGTCTCATTTTTCTTACCTGTAAAATGAGGATAATAACAGTACCATACTCAGAGAGTTTTGAAGAGTAAATGAGTTAATATGTGTAAACTGCTTAGTAGAGTGTTTAGTTACATAGTTTGTGTTAAATAAAAAGCTAGCCCTTACTATGACTATTATAACCCATCTTAAAAGGTATTTTTTAAAGGATGAGAAAAAGTTAAAATCTAGTATCTTCTCCCACCTTAAATTTTGCCCACTTTGAGACTACTTGTCTACACTATAGCTAGCTACTGTGATCTTGAAAAAATAAGTCTGATAATGGCACTATGCTGCTTAAACCTCTTCAGTGGCTTACTGTTCCCTCTCCGAAGGAAGCCCCTTTGAACTGCCTCTTCTACCTTCCAAACACATTCTGCCTTCTGGCCTCACAGGCCTTTTAGTCC